GAGTCAAACATGACTTCTGCATCAAATCCAAGTGTGCGCAACGAGAATATGAGGCCATTCAACTAAAAGGTTCAGTTGAATCGGAAATAGGTATTTCCACATGATAATGATTTGAAGCATGCTAAGCAAATCCACCAATGCATGGTTCTAAAGGGAGGCATGTAGGATTATGGACTGGCCTAGTCAAAGCCCTAATCTGAATCCCAACAGAGTCAATTAATGCAAGTAAACAAACATTTCGCAACTTAAGGAATGTTTCATGGATGAGTGGTAAAAAAAAAAATCACCGAGTTAATTTCAAGGACTGGTGGACAGTTATGCAAAACCCCTACAAAAAATAATTTCTGCTAAAGGGGGCAATACAAGCTACTGAGGCCAAGAATGTGCTTACTTTTTGCACTGTACACCTTTACATCTATTGCTATTTTTACAGAGTTGAAAGTAGGGTGCGCGTTTGTGAAGAAGTCAAGAGATTTGTGAGGCATGACACTATCACAGGCACCCCGCTTCAACCCGGTAGGGGCAAAGGTACATCGGATATTACAAAGCTGCCATACGAGTGATCACCAGGCGTACTGGAAACAGCAATATACATCTATGTGCACTATGCTGATTGACATCACGCTGGTTGGGTGAGATAGTCCCTCCTTCATTTAAGAACTATATGCCAATAAGACTCTTATATGCAATTTATAGGTGATTTTAGTCGGTGGTCTAGTGCTTGCTGATAGATTTATAAATTACATTTAGATGGCAATCCATATAGCATATGGAACATATTGGGGTTGATTTACTAACCTTATAAACACACCACGAACATGTATACACCTCTGTAGTGTGTTCCCTCCCAGCATGATCTATGGGTGGAATCTAAACACCTTTGTAGTGTGTACACACCCAGCAGGTGTGTTGTGCAAAGCCAAGCATGAATTGCAAGCTGATGTTGTGTAAATTAGCTCTATGTTGTGTTGCTTGCGTTGATGAATGCAGGAATGTAAATGCATGAGCTAACCATTTTTGTCTAAACTGTGAAGCAGCATTATATATGCATCATGTGCATGATTTTTCCATATATGGCATTAGTGGAAATATGCTTTTAGAGACTTTTTGGTTGATAAATACGTTTTGCTGTGTGAAAAATCACACGCACCTGGTGCGTGCGTGTGTTTAGGTTAGTAAATCACCCCCATTGGATCATTTACAATATTGATCTATACCTTGGCCTGAACCTTGACTGTACAATTGATACCTTATTTAGACAGTACTACAATACTCTGTGCGCTATGAAGATTTTTATACATGTATGGTGTCATCATTAAATGGACGAGGAAACAGTAATTCAGATACATGTTTTTCTGACTCATTACGGCAGGGGACATAGAATAAAAGCGGGGGCCCCCAGCTGGTGTGTCTCTGTTTTTAAATGGTTTTATAGATGGAAACTGTCTTTAGATGTCTGTATAATAAAAGGATTAACTGATTTGTGAAGTTTGTCGCTATATTACAAGTAATAGTGGAGCCACTTCTCCCTGGATGATAGAGATGTTAACAAGGGGAAACTTTAATAGTCGATTTCTTTGATATCTTTACATGTTTTTAGTCAAGTATATTCTCTTTATCCATGAGCCCTGTTTGAATTAAGATCTAATGTTTGCATGTTCAAATCGTCAACAATGTCCATGGGATGTACATACTTTTTCACATGAGTGTAGATGTAAAAGGGTTCTGCTAATTTATTATTCTTCTCACTAATAAACAGGTCTGACACAAATGAATGTACAAGATGATAAGTGACCTTTTATTAAAGAATGTATGCATACACTGTGTAGGTGGTTTTCTTAGCCAACTGGTTGAAGATTTTGCTTTTATAAATAAAGTAAGGATATTAGATATAAGTACCCCAAGGGCACAGAATGATGTGAATGGATCTTTGTAAACCACTGCATGATGCACTTAAAATGAAAGAAATCATTAATACAGTCATCAAGCACTGATCTGCATTCATAATTAGAAGCCATAAACATCACCATTTCTCAGAATTACAGGCAGCCAACAAATAAACACAGCACAAATGTAGACATAATCTCTAGGGTCTGTCTATTCAGATGCTAGTTAAACTTCTTATGAAACAGTAGGTCAGAGCATCTAGTGGAAACCCGTACAAAATCAAGGAAAACATTTACACAAAGAGCATCCTTGTGGATAGACAAGCCCAGGGGCCAGGACAATGCCAAAAAGTAGATGCAGAAGACTAAATGAACAGGGAATGGCTCATATTGATACCAAAATACTCCATGAGCTCAGTTGCAGGGGCATTAAGGATGGAGAATGGCCTTGGAATGTGAATTCCCTGTTCAGTAATATCCCCTTTACTTAGTGTATTCATAGAGCTCAGCTTTAAGCAGTTCCAGGTTTATAGGCTCACCGTACTAGCAAAAGTGTAGGCAAAACTATTTTAGGACCCTATTTAGTTTTAGGCCGTGAAGGTGTTTTTTGCATTGTCTTATTTTGCATTGTGTATTTTTTGCGGTTTCACAAGCAGATACAAATTCGGCAGCAATAACAACAGCAGTTCTATCTCTTCTCAGGTTATTCAAAATGAAGATATGTTTTGGATGGACTTGGGATTTACGCTTAACAGGGCATTAAGGTGTTGAGAACTAAACAGGAAGTAAGGAGAATTTCCCCTGCAGGAAAGCAAACAGGAATAAAAAGCCAACAAAGGTTCTTACTAGGGATGCACCAAATTTTGGAGGTGGATCTCCTCCACATTTTATGGGCCTGCCCACGAGTCAGAGCATTTTGGGTGGTCTTTGCTCAATTTATTGATGTTCCGTTCATGCCTAGCATACACACATGTATTCTGGGGCTGGCTGAACCACTTGCTCCTACTATTGCGTTAGACATTCCTGGGAATTTTATTATTCTGCGCCAGGAAGGTAGTGATACTGCAGTGGAGACAGAGTGCACCTCCAACCATCTCTGACTGGAAGGGCCGCTTCAACTCCTACTTACGCCTATACAAAGCAACCTATCAGAGGAGAGGATGTCCCAGTAAGTTTTACAAGGTCTGGGGAGGATGGTTGGAGTCTGCGGATACGGCAGGCTAAGAGGGTAATTTTTTCTCCTATGAGGACCTCTTAGTGAGTGTGAACCAGTGACTTGCGGTGATATAACCATTGTATGTCTAACCTTGGACACATTGTAAATGTGTAAGATGTAATAACACTCCGTATGGGGCAGTTGGAGTTGGGAGGACAAACACTTTTTTGGGGACGGGGGGACCCTGATTATGGGTATGTTCCTGTTACCGGGGGCTCCTTTACTGTATTTTGTTTGCCATGTACTGTACTGAACTGTGTCCTCTGACGGATGTGAGTGCTTATGCTATGTTTTGTACTAAAAACCTTTAATAAAAAGAATTTATAAAATAAAATAAAAAAACATAAGGACATAGTTTGACAAGATTGGTGTGGAGGATACTGGCCTACACAAAACCCTGACCTCAACACGAATTAATGCATTTGGGATGGATTGAAACATCAAATGTGAGCCAGGTCATCTCATGCAACATTAGTACCCAACTTCACAAATGCTCTTTTGACTAAATGTGTACAAATGGCACGGAATAAAATGTAGGAGGTACACTTGCATCAATCATCCAGGCTTTAGACTTCATTCAGTAACCTGTACTAACAATTGTCAGCAGGAATTAATTTCTTATTCTCAATGTTTTTGTTTGACTGCAATTTTTTTAAATCAATAAACACAGTAAAGCTACTTATTAAAAGAGTCTTGTCAGATTGTAAGCTCGTTTGGGCAGGGTCCTCCTCACCTACTGTTTCTTTATGTCAATGATGCTTGGCAGTGTTTCTTACTTGTCTTCTCTAAACGAAAGGAAAAGAGCTGTGGAATATGTTAAATAAATAATTGTTATAATTGTAATTGTTTAAAGGGGAAAACAAATTCAGGACACAGCTGCAAGTGCTTTTTTGTTAGGAATATGTGACAAGCAAAGAGCTCACTTAAGACACGGACATCAGATGGTCAATGCCCAGCCCTGCCAATTTGCCATTAATCTGCATGTTTATGAGTACCATTAGGCGTTAGCAGACCTTTACAGCTGACCAATCTTGAGGGAGGAGGTGCATTAGTGATATAAGCAGAGTCAGGGGTGCCTATGCACACATCTGATGAAGAGATCCTGCCGTGTTGAAATGTTTTAACGGTCTTAGCTTCTAACTGCTGATCAAACTGTAATGTTGGCCTTCCCAGAACACTAAACTGAGTGCACTAATGAGACCCAACCTGACCCTCACAATTACAGACAAAACAAACGGGCAGTCACACAAATTACACATCATTATTTCAATAATTTATTTCAGAAAGATGTGGCAGAGCACGTCAATATGGCAGCTCAGGCCTTCTAACATCTATGCGATGCTGGATTGTTAACAAGTAAAAATATCTGAGAACAAGCAGCATTAACTGCAACACTGTATTGAAGGTTGTGGACCCTTTTATAAAAAATAAACTGTAAATGTAATCCTGCAATTTGCACAATTCTGCTAAATACACAATGAAATGTTTTCAGGATCAAGAGAGTTGTTTTCCTCATAGATCCTCCCCCAAACCTATCATCACTTATTTTTTAAATTGTCCATATATATTGACTTGACTACTATATACCAAGAAATCATTTGCATCCAGCTTCAGCCAGAAATAAGCCATGTTCCAAAACATTTTAGAGATATATGTAAATTTTATAAACACTGTAAGGGAGTTTGCATACCATGGTTCCAAGAGATTCTTATACAACAGAAAGGTGCAATAATGGTGCACTGTAACTGGAAACAAATGTAATGATGAAAAAAACATCCAACAACCTAATTTTACAAGCAGAAAAGTAAATGATCCCAGCATTACAAGGATTGCTTGAAAGTGTCTGTGTGGCAGAAATACATGGAGAAAACTCTGTTCATAAGCAATACTGACAAGTCTTTTTACAATCCCAAGGATTTCTGAACCGTCTGCCTGGCAATCATATTAAACTGCTCACGGTCGTCTCGCCACATCTTGGAGGCATCTACATTAGCTCCGCTTTCATCATTTGGTTCTGAAAAAGAAATATAAACAAGAATTTTACTTTGACTTCAACAATGAATATTAACACTTAAAGGCAAAGTGTTTTTCCCTTTAGATATAGAGTGGTAAGGGGTTAAACCACTCTCAGGATCACTGTCAGGTTCTTACTTTTTTCATTATTTCTTGTTAGGTCAGCTGCTTTGTGCTTCTCTTTGTGCTTATACTTAGATATCGTTTTAAGCATCTCATTTTGTTTTTTGCTTCTTTTTTTTTGTAAGTAGGAGGCCCTTCCTAGTTGTTTGCTTTGTAAAGATCTTTGTGCAAAAGAGATGATTTCAAGCTCACAGGATGCACGTCACTCTCCATCCCGATAAAAAGGTGCAATTCATAAACTTTCCTTGCCAAATGGCCATTATCTTTACTCATCAACTGTTATTGCTGCATCCCATATGGCGTTCAGCATTACTTATACTTTATTCCCATATTGTGTGGGCTAACATTGAGTTGTTTTATACTGAGTTCCCTGTATCCCTTTATACTTTATTCTGCTCTGTTGTTCTTCAATGGACCCAGCAAATCTAAAGTCATACAGGTTGTAATTGGTTGGTTCTTAACCTTGAGAATGAGGATCTTTTTTGTATGATGCGATTTCTGCAACTAAGACCTAAGTAAATTTTGAGGTCTTTCATCAAACTCTCAGAGTGCAGGCCTTTTCTTTTGTTCAGTTTCAATTTCCATCTGTCCTGTTAGTGCCCATTCACACTCAGCATTTAAACGCGCGATTTCTGCCACGATATCGCGCACATTTGCCCAGCGATATCATGAGAAGTTGCCATCCAATGATTTTCAATGGAGCTGTTCTATTCTACAGCTCCATGTTGCCTATCGCTCGTCGCTGTCGCAGGACCCTTTTTTCCGCGGAAGTCGCACGATTTTTCTCTTTTTGCATGCAGCCCAACGGTGATTGTTGCCTGTTGCTCGTTATCCCGGCCGCGCTGGAAACCCGCTCGAGGTAAGTGTTGCTCAGTGTGAATGGGGCCTTAGACAGATTTGCTTTCTTTAATTGTCCAGATCACCAATGTAACCAGGGATGAAACAGAGAGTAAATCCACAACTTTGAATTGCCACGAGAACAGAAATAGAGGGGAAGTTTTTCAAAAAGGACACTTATTTCTGTGACAACTGTCTAAGAGGGGAGTTTGGACAGATATCCTCTCATTTCCTGTTGAGTCTACAGAACAGGAAATCTCCCTAAAAAGACACAGATGGCAAAAAAACAAACAAACCAGGCAGCAGTTTCAACCCTCTCACACTCTATCTAAGATGGAAAGAAAATGTTTGGCTTTAGATATACTGTACTTTAAAAAGTAGAGTGGAGAAGGACTGACAAAGGAATACTGTAGATGAAAGTTGAGGCCTTGTTCACACCAAGTGCGTAGCAGGTGCAGAGCAGATCAGTTGCAGACCGGATCAAAACTGCGTCCAATGTATTCCAATGGTATTTTTTTGTGCTCCAGTTCACATCACAGCGTGCAGTTGCAGAGCAGATCCAGAGCAGGTGAAAAAACTGCAGCAGGCAATATTTTACCTGCTCTGGAACACATCAAAAACACATGCAAATGCCTGGAACGCACTGAAAGCCCATTTTAAACGTAATTTTTTTTTTTTAACCAAAAAGAGCCCGGAACGCATCAAAAACACGTCTAAAAGACTAGCGTGCGTGTGCAGAAACCTGACCGGATGTGCTCTGCATTTGGTGTGAACAAGGCCTAAGGCTTGTATACATAAAAGAAAATCTTCCTACTGAAAAACAAGCTTTGAAGATTCCACTTGAATCACCCAAAAAAAAAAATGAGAATCGTTATACAAAACATAAAATTCAAGCCATACCTATCTAGTGAATTCCAATACTGCAGACTTTATTGAAATTCACAGCAAATCCAGTATAAAAGTGAATAAAAAAAGTGTATAAAGCAACAAATGCCAGCACTGCATTTGGGGGCATTTGTTGCTTTATACACTTTTATTCACTGTTATACTGGATTTGCTGACCATCACCTGGGGAGTCCTGATGGTGGCTAAAGAATTGGAGCGGTGAGATTTCCTTTGGCTCTACATACCTATCCAGTATTTAAGTTAAATAAGGCGGACATAAGATTACTCTTTAATGGTACTGGAACAGAAGTCAAAATGTGAGACTGCACAAAAAAGTAGAATATATGAATGTTTTCAAGACATTAAGGCAAATTTTCAATCTTACACTTTCTCTGCTCTCAACTAGAAACAGCTTCTTGAATAAGGGTGAACATAAACGGAACATACAATTCAACATTCAGGCCCCTTTCACACGTGCGTTCAGGTTGTCAGGTTTTCAGCCCTCCGTTTGCAGATAAAAAACATACAACAATACATGTCTATGGCAGTGCGGATGAAAACTGATGACTGATTACATCAGGAAACATCAGTGTCAGTTGAGGTCCACAATTTGAGATGGATCCGCTCTCTGTTTTAACTTACCGGCACTGATGTTTACATCAGTTCAGGTTACAACCGTTTTTTGGGATTGATGTCGTAATACAGCATGGGAAGTTTAATTGATTGCGGGGGAAAAGCAAAAAATTATGGGAATTTACCATACTACAGACATGTAAAACATGGATGCAAACTGAACTGACAAATGATGTGCAAACTGATGTAAACAAAAAAGCCCGGTTACAATAAGCCCAACAACACCTTGACATGCCTCACAGCTTCTGGCACACAGTAATTTGTAATGGCGAGACCTAAATAGAGCTTTATGGTTACAAGCATAAACGCTATGTTTGGAGAGGGGTCAACAAGGCCTATAGCGACAAGAATACCAGCCCCACTGTAAAGCATGGTTGTGGCTCACAGATGTTTTCAGGGTGTACGAGCTCTAAGGGCACGGGGAATCTTGTGAAAATTGAGGCAAAATGAATGCAGCATGTTAACAGAAGATGGTGGCACCAACAACAGAAATAACTGGGTCTCTGGGGACAGACTGGAGTAGAGTTTTTGTTCACTGGTTATGTACGGAAAACTTGTTTATAAGCGGAACAGTTCATATTTGCCAGCAGTTGTGCAAGCACTGGCAAAGGAAAAGGTTGCTGTGAAAGGCATGGGAAGCAACAATCAACTGAGTAAAGCTGGTCAATAGCACATATGTTTCTTCTGATGAAGTTCTTGGTAAAATTTACCACATCAGCTGGTGTTTAATGGTGTGCAGGGTTCCCTTCCTCAGGCAATAGCGATATATAGCACTAAAGGAATATAGCAGATGAATACAAAGAGCTACAGAAACATAATTTCATATTCAGTCTGCTAGGGTACGAATTGTACCTATTATGTGAGCTACAGAAAAAGACATGTTCTGTAAATTTTGGCCTAAACAAAAATCATCAAAACTACAGCGTTATCATCAGACTGAATTTTTTTTAGACTACTGAAAACTTCTGGTGCTTTGAGGATAAGCTCTTCAGCTCTAGATGTACCCTAGACAGTCTGTCATTCCTTGCAAAGGCTCTACTGCCAAGAGTGACATTTTAAGTCTTTGGGAATGGGAATTCAATTGTTCTGTCAAGCATGCCAGCTTTCTTTCACACATTCATATTTTTATCTATAAGGAACCTGAATTACTAGTGAAATTGTTGCAGTCAGAATTCCCATAGGGGACCTGGCCTCTATTCTAGCTACTGAAGTCAGCCTATAAACATAAAAGGCCTTATAGAATGAAACGTTTAACATCTTTTCTCTTGGAAAAAGGTCATGTCTTAGACTGAATTTATTAGAAGTTCAAAACAAATTCCCCTCAGAGAAGTGATGATCATTTTCTAACCCTTTTCAGAGGTTTGATCAGCCATCTAAGTGAAACCTGAAACTACCAAAATAGAAATTGTTTTGTTTCTTCCAAGGCCAAGAGGCCCCCTAAATAGGAGACAAGCATATGTGAAGAGTCTCTCTGTACAGGTTTCTTTTTTTACAAACGCTGTGAAACTGATGAAAAGCCAAAGAGAAGAGATGTGAAACCATTTGATTTTTACCTAAACATCCACATGCGGAAACCTCTGAAATCCTCCACATCCTATTATGCATCTGATAATAGGGTTAGTTGAAGAAACTAAATGTTTTTAAAAGACCTCCAAAGTCACAGGAGCCAAATGTCTTGCAGACCACTGGATACCTTTTCAGAGAAATTTTAAAAGCTGGAAACTAGGGATGTCCCAATACCATTTTTTCAAGACCAAGTACAAGTACTTTCCCTAAGGTACTAGCCGATACCAATTACAGACGTTTTTTCTAAAACAATGCAGACTAATGATTTTAGGGCAGTTTCTTAAAAATTCTGAACAAAATAAACTGAACTGATAAGTGTCACACTAAAGAAATATATATATTATAAAAATATATA